ATGGTTTGCTACTGAAGTAGCCCAGCAGTGCTTAATTTGTGCCTCAAGGCCTGGCAGGGCCGAGCCCCGGCCCCTCTGGGTTTGCCGCATCAGTTATGAAAGTAAAAAAAATTGCTTGAGCCCCGGACCCACTTTCATTACAAATTAAGCCCTGTCGCTCAGCCTTTGCCTGGGACCCAGAGCAGGCTGGGGGAGGAGGGAAGGTGGAGTCCAAGGCCACTCTCCTCATCCTCTGTTTGTTACCCCATCTGCTGCAGCGCTAGGCTGCTGATCCTGCACTCCCCTTGCATAGTGGGAGGAAGGGGCGGCAGCCTCATGACAAGGGGGAGGCCCTGGCACTGCAGGAAGTGAAGCTGGTGGTTCAGCAGGGGGCGCTCTTCCCTCTCCAGCCACCCCACCCCTGTGTGTCTGCATGGTGCTAGGGGGCGCTGTGCTGAAGGGGGCAATACTAAAGGGCGGAGCTGTTACAGTTCCCTTCCAGTCCCCTCCTAAACCCCACCCTGCTTCCCTCCATTCCGCCACCTTGCTCCCCCTCCTAACTCCCACCCTGCTCCCCTCCATCCACGCCCCCGCTCCCCTTTCATCCCCCTCCCGGAACCACTCCACCCCCCAATCCCCTGCAACCCCAATCTGTAGCCTCCCCCCATTCATCCCCTTCCTGATTCCTCTCACTCCCATCCCCCTCCCTTTGCCACCCTCATTCCCTGCATCCCCTCCCCCTTGTCTCCCCTCCCCCTCTCGCTGTCTGGCATCACAGGGCCCTGCCACATGTGTGCCCCAACACAAAGGCAGGTCCCCTCCTGTTGCATCTGCCTGTGGCTGGGTCCCCGGAGCGCAGAGCTAAGGGGCCGGCCTGGCTCCCCTCCCTTCCCCCTCCAGCTCCTGCAAGGAACAACCCCGGGGGAGCTCTTCACGCTGCCCCCCACCCAGCCCGGGCCAGTCCCCGCCAGCATCGCACTTCCCCTCCCAGCTGCGCTGAAACCTCCCCAGCCCTGGCGCTGAGTGCGGAGCGGGCGCCAGCCAGGATCGCTGCGCTGGGCCAGGGCCTGCCAGGCTGGCGGGGAAGCCTGGGCCACAGGGGCAGGGGCAGGAGGTTAGAAGGGAGGTGAGCCTCATTGCACCCCCACGCCTGTCAGCAGGGCAGCCGGGTCCCCAGCCGGCAGGGAAGGGCCTCTCCCCGCCCGGGGGCTGCTCTGGACCGGACCGGGGGCGCTGGAGGCTGTGTCCGGTTCCGACCATCGCTCCCTGCGCAGGAGCGCGGCCCAAGTGGCCATAGCTTGGACTGAGCCGGCCAGGGACCCTGGCTCGGGCGGCCTCCCAGGGGACGGGGAGCTGGAGTCTCTGAGCCGGGCCACAGATTCGGCCCACCTCCTGCCCCGCCGCCCCTCGGCAGCCCCCCGGAAGCCCCCCGGAAGCCCGGCGTAGCCTCTCAGCGTGTCCCGCGCAACCTGCGCCCTGGGTGCATGTTCGCTCACTGCCCGGGGGGCGAGGCTGAACGGGGGTCCGGAGAGGGGCGGGGAAGGGGAAGAACAGGGGCGGGGGGGTCCCCGGCTCCTTCACGGAGCTGTGCCACTCGCTAGCAATTTGAACCGGTATTTTGAAATAAAATATTCATGAGACCCACGGTAGCCCGCCCAGCCAGGCAGAGCCCGCGAGGGGCACAGACCAGCCCCTTCCCGCACCCACGTGTTGGAATTAATTTGGAGATATTTCCATTGCCTTTTACACACCCACCTCCCCCTACAGCTCCCCCCATACACACAGACATCCCCCCACAGCTCCCTGCACCCCCCTACACCCCTTCCCCCTACAGCTCCCCCATAGACACAGACCTCCCCCCACAGCTTCCTGCACCCCCCAATCACCCCTTCCCCCACAGCTCCCCCATAGACACAGACCTCCCCCACAGCTTCCTGCACCCCCCAAACACCCCTTCCCCCACAGCTCCCCCATAGACACAGACCTCCCCCACAGCTTCCTGCACCCCCCAAACACCCCTTCCCCCACACCTCCCCCCATAGACACAGACCTCCCCCACAGCTTCCTGCACCCCCCAAACACCCCTTCCCCCACAGCTCCCCCATAGACACAGACCTCCCCCACAGCTTCCTGCACCCCCCAAACACCCCTTCCCCCTACACCTCCCACATACACACAGACCTCCCCCTACAGCTCCCTGCATCCCCCCACACCCCTTCCCCCACAGCTCCCCCATAGACACAGACCTCCCCCTACAGCTCCCCCCATACACACAGACATCCCCCCACAGCTCCCTGCACCCCCCTACACCCCTTCCCCCCTACAGCTCCCCCCATAGACACAGACCTCCCCCCACAGCTTCCTGCACCCCCCAAACACCCCTTCCCCCTACACCTCCCACATACACACAGACCTCCCCCTACAGCTCCCTGCATCCCCCCACACCCCTTCCCCCACAGCTCCCCCATAGACACAGACCTCCCCCACAGCTTCCTGCACCCCCCAAACACCCCTTCCCCCTACACCTCCCACATACACACAGACCTCCCCCCACAGCTCCCTGCACCCCCCACACCCCTTCCCCCACAGCTCCCCCATAGACACAGACCTCCCTCTACAGCTCCCCCCATACACACAGACCTCCCCCCACAGCTCCCTGCACCCCCCACACCCCTTCCCCCTACAGCTCCCCCATACACACAGACCTCCCCCCACAGCTCCCTGCACCCCCACATACCCCTTCCCCCTACACCTCCCCCATAAACACAGACCTCCCCCCTACAGCTCCCCCCATACACACAAACCTCCCCCCCACAGCTCCCTGCACTCCCCCACACCCCTTCCCCCTACAGCTCCCCCATAGACACAGACCTTCCCCAGAGCTCCCTGCCACCCCCCACACCCCTTCCCCCAGCTCCCCCCATACACAGACCTCCCCACACTGCCCCCCCACAGACCTTCCCCCCACAGACCTTGTCCAACCCCCCCCACAGCTTCCTGCACACCCACACACACCCCTACCCCAGAGCTCCCGCACCCCATACACGCACATACCTCCTCCTACAGCTCTCCCCATACACACAGACCTTCCCCCACACCTCCCCCACCCCATACACACACAAACCTCCCCCCACAGCTCTCTACACCCCCCACATACCTTCCCCCCCAGCTTCCTTCCACACACTCCCCTCCCCCCCCAGCTCCCCCTCCCCATACACTCACAGACCTCCCTCCACCCCTAATACACACAGCTCCCCTAGATCCCCCGCCCCAGCTCACTCCAGTGAGGTCCGTTGCCCTGAGGAGCTGGGAGTTTGCCAGGAGGCTCCGGGAGCTGTTTTCTCCTCACATCCGCCCGTGCACGCACCGCCCCCCACTCCCCTCTGAGTAACGGGGTCCCCCGGCCCCTCTCCCCCGGCCCCGAGCGCGGCGCGTTGCAAACCGGTAGTCGCGACCTGTTGAGCCGAGGGGGAGCCGCGGGGGCCAGGGGCAGCACCAGGGGGCCCCGATCCCCCGGAGCCGGAGAGCTGCAGGAGCCTGCTCCCCCGCCGGGTCCCCGCGGCTCGGGGGCTTTTGTCCGCCGAGCCCGGCCTTTCAAAGCCGGCTCCCAGGCTCCCGCGCTGGGCCAGAGCGAGCCGGGCGCTCCCGGTCCCCAGCCGGGTCCGGCCCCGGAGAGCTGCGGCCTTTGTTCGGCGCAGAACAACCCCGGGCCTTTGTGGGCAGGAGCGGGGCGGGGGGAGGGGGCTGCAGGGAGGGGGAGCGGAGAGGCCCAGGGTCGCGCCGGCCCCTTTGTGCTCCGGCTTCCAGGACCGGGGCCGCCCGGTGACAAATCGGCTTCGGCCTGGGTCGGGCTCCAGCGCCGGGCGCTCCAGCCCCGCAGAGCGCGGAGCCGCTCCCGGGCACCCCCAGGGCTGGGGGCGGCGCTGGGTCCAGGCAGCTGCTGCTCTCCCGGGAACTGCCTTTGTGTCCCGGGGCTCGCGAAGATGGAGCCTGGGCGCTTGGCCCCGCAGCCGGGCCGGGCGGCGGGACGTGAGGGGAATGCGGGGAGCCGCAGGCCGGGGGCCCGTCGCAGCCTCACTGGGGGCCCTGAAGGGCCTGGCTCCGGCTTCGCTGGGTCCCGCTAGCCGCGGCCTGCGCCGGGAGAGGGGCCGGGGGCTGGCTGCCGGCACGAACGACTCGCCCTTTTGCAGCCCGAGCATGTGAGCTGGGGGCTGGTTCAGGCTGCCGAGCACAGAGGAGGGGCTCCCTCCGCGAGCCTCCGGCCGAAGCTGCTCCCCCAGCCGCTGATGTGGGGGGGGGGGTCTCGTTCCCACCTGGGGGGCTGCTGTAGGACGCTGGGCAAGGAGGATTTAAAAACAAAGCAACAAACAAAAAACCCCTCTCTCCATAGTCCATTTTATTTTGTTTTCTTTTTATTGTGAAGTGCGCCAAGAGGCCTGGTGCCATTGTGCTTACTGGGACATCATTCAAATACTGGCTCAAAAAATTTTCCCGGGGAAAAGTCTCCAGAAACAGGTTTAGATTCTTTACAGCTTGTAAAAATCATGTAAATTTCCAAATGGTATTTACAAGGCATTCTTGCGATATACAGTTCCCTTTTTTATTTTAAGTACAAAAAACAGAGGTCTATCTAATACAAGTTCCTTCTACCTGAATTCTATTAAGTTTTATTTTTTATTTTGTGCTGCTTTAAGTTATTCATAAAATGGAAAGACTAAAAGAGGAAGTGCTGTATAGGTAAAAAGATTAGGAGCATCCACATGGCCTTTACAAAATAAGGTGATGGCCTGTTTTCCTGCCAAGGGGTGTGTTTAGTTCTTTGTGGGCTATCTGTATGCATGTGTGTCTGTCTGTCTCTCTGTGTGAGTGTGTGTGTGTGTGTGTCTGTCTGTCTGTGTGTGTCTCTGTCTGTGTGTGTCTGTCTGTCTCTGTATGTGTGTCTGTGTGTGTGTCTATCTCTCTGTGTGTGTCTGTGTGTCTCTGTGTGTGTGTCTGTCTCTGTGTGTGTGTGTGTCTGTCTGTGTGTCTCTCTGTCTCTGTGTGTGTGTGTCTGTCTGTGTGTGTCTGTCTGTCTGTCTCTGTGTGTCTGTCTTTGTGTGTCTGTCTCTGTGTGTGTGTGTCTGTCTGTGCGTGTCTGTGTGTCTGTCTGTCTCTGTGTGTGTCTGTCTGTCTGTGTGTGTGTGTCTGTCTCTGTGTGTCTGTCTCTCTGTGTGTGTGTGTGTGTAGAAATTCTGAACAGCTTGTCCAAGTGTATCTATTTTTTCTCCCAGATGCTTGAAATCTTAAAAAAACAAACAAACCCACACACCCCTTAAATCCCACACCCCTTAAACCCCACACACCCCTTACACCCCACACCCCTTAAAGCCGAGGTGGATGTTCCTCCAAGATTTGCTAGAAAAATGTAACTAACTTGCTTGCAGGGCCCCTGGTTAGCCCCACAAGCCTATAACCCTATAACCACTACAATGAAGTCAAAGGCAGGCAGTGCATACATTAGAAGAGAAGGAAGAGTCGTCGTATGTCCTATTACACTACATTGGCATAGTCCCTGATATTCGTTGCTATTAAGAATATTGGATTAAAATGTACCTGATTTCTCAGTAATACTATTTGTCTTAAAAATAACATGCATTCCCTTAATTATTGCTCTATAAGTTCGGTATCGGACTCCTAAGGAGACGTATTGCCCTCAAATATACTATCTAAAGTTTGGCAAATAAATAAATAACCAAAGAACTCAACCCAGTGATCAGAATCGAAAGCGTCGCGGAATTGGCATAGATTTCGCTCCTTGGTTGGCATGCAAAACTTCAAAGCGTTAGAAAGGGCGGCAACGAGAAATCGGTTCGTTCTTTCTTTTTTCTTCAAAAAAGTGACGAAGACTTTGGCATAGAGAGGAGATACCGGCAACCAGCGGAGAGGAGGTTGGAAGTAAACAGCCGTGCGCCTCAGATTCAACGCAAAACAAAGTCACTGCGGGGCTTCCCCCAAATAAATAAGGGGAGGGGGCGCGGGAGACCCCGAGTGTACATATCGATATATTAAAAAAACTCTGCGAAATAAATAGATAATAAATCAACCCAGCCGTTTACGAAAATAGAAATAGACACTTAAAAAAACCCCGTTGAAAAGGAATCAAATAAAAACGTGCCAGAGAGACTCGCGGTCAGGAATTAGTCGTTCCGGGTTTACCTGTAAAGGCGGACACTTGGTGGTCATTGGCTGCGGAGCACGAGTTTTTACTTCGTGGGGTTTTTCCTCTTCTTCGCTTCCAGAAAGGTTGAACCTTTCGAAAGCAAGAGCCCGGAGGGAGAGGACATTGGATGCCCTTGCGGCTGGACTCCCGGCAGGGAGAGTCCGCTCCAAAGGGCCAGGCGAGGAGCAGCAGGAGATCGGAGTCCGTTTCCGAGGGGGGGGGGATCTCGGTTGCTGTGCTCTGTACCAGGGGGCGGGATGGGGGGAGGTTGGAGAGGTCGGGGGAACTCCGAGGAGCGTTTGGAGAGAGCTGGGGGGGACCCTGGGGACGAATTGGAGAGGGGCACCCCGAGAGTGCTTGGAGAGGTGGGGAGGGAGACCCCGCCAAGGATGGGAGGGGGGAGGGGCTCCCGGAGAGTGCTCGGAGCGGGAGGGGGACCCCGCCAGGGACCGGATGGGGGAGGGGCTCCCGGAGAGTGCTTGGGGAGGTGGGGAGGGGGGACCCCGCCAAGATCGGGAGGGGCTCCCGGAGGGGGGAGGGGGACCCCACCAGGGACTGGAAGGGGGAGGAGCTCCCGGAGAGTGCTCGGATAGGGGAGGGGGACCCCGCCAGGCACGGGAGGGGGAAAGTGGAGGGGCTCCCGGAGAGTCCTCGGAGCGGGGAGGAGGACCCCGCCAGGGACAGGAGGGGAGAGGGGCTCCCGGAGAGTGCTCGGAGGGGGACCCCGCCAGGGACGGGAGGGGCACCCAGAGAGTGCTCGGAGAGGTGGGGAGGGGGACCCAGGCAGGGACTGGAGGAGGAGAGGGGAGAGGCTCCCGGAGAGTGCTCGGGGAGGTGGGGAGGGGGACCCAGCCAGGGACTGGAGGAGGAGAGGGGAGAGGCTCCCGGAGAGTGCTCGGGGAGGGGGACCCCGCCCGGGAGGGGGAGGGGGGAGGGGCACCCGCAGAGTGCTCGGAGCGGGGAGGGGGACCCCGCCAGGGACGGGAGGGGCACCCGGAGAGTGCTCGGGGAGGTGGGGAGGGGGACCCAGCCAGGGACTGGAGGAGGAGAGGGGAGAGGCTCCGGCAGAGTGCCCGGAGGGGGGGGACCCCGCCCGGGAGGGGGAGGGGCTCCCGGAGCGCTCGGAGAGGTGGGGCGGGGGGAGGGGCCGGCGCAGAGCGCTCGCAGCGGGAGGGGGACCCCGCCAGGGGCCGCCCCCCGGTCAGGTCTCGCTGGGGCTGAGCGGCGGGACGGCCCCCTTGAAGCAGGCCGACTCGTAGTGCTTGTTGAGATAGGACTTGAGGGCGAAGGTCTTGCTGCAGCGTTTGCACTTGAAGTGCTTGAAGGCCGAGTGGGTCTGCATGTGGGCCCGCAGGTTGGAGCGGTCGGCGAAGGCCTTGCCGCAGTGGGCGCAGCCGAAGGGCTTCTCGCCCGTGTGGGAGCGCATGTGGCCCTGCAGGAGCCAGGGCCGGCTGAAGGCCTTGCCGCAGGTCTCGCACTTGTGCTTGAGGTCGTGGGTGAGCAGGTGCATGGCCATGGCCGGCATGGAGACGTAGACCTTGCCGCAGGTCGGGCACTTCTTGGCCATCTTGCTGTCCAGGCTGCGGTGCGTCTGCTTGTGCCGGCTGAGGTTGGAGGAGGTGGCGTAGGTCTTGCCGCACTCGCTGCACCGGTGCCGCTGCAGGCTGCGCGCCCCGCTCACCGCCTTGCGCCGCGACCGCCCGTCGGTGATGAAGAAGGCGTCCACCGCGTAGCCCTCGCTCACCGCCGCGTCCCCGTTGATGTACCCGGCCGCGATCTCCGAGTGCGGGCTGTCGGGCTGGTCCGAGTCCGGCGCGCCATAGTCCCCGTGCGCCCCCGGGTAGATCGGGTCAGGCGAGGGCACCTTGATGGCGCTTTCGCCTTCATAGCCCGACGGGGTGATGTAGTCACTGATGTACCCTGCTGGGAGCGGGCGGGGGAGGGGGAGGCGGGGGGGGAGGGGGATGGAGCGGGAGAGACCAGAAGAGGCTTGTTAAATCATTGAGGGGCCTGGGGAGATTAGCTGGAGAGCTCTCTGGTTAATAGAGGCAACAAGCTCGTCCTGCCAGGGCCCCCCCCCCCTTGCTTTGCCGACGGCGGGGGATGAAGTGCGCGGCGGTGAACCAGGAGCCGGCTCTCCACTGTCATGCTAATGGCCGTGGCGTTTGATGAACCTTCCCCGCCAGCCACCCTCTTCATCATTCCCCGAGCTTCCCTCTCGCCTCGCCGGCTGCCGGGCGCAGATAGGCGGGGAGAGAGGGAGGCTGGGGAGACACGGCGGCCGAGCGCTGCTCCGGCTCCTGCTGACGGGGGACGGCAGCTCGCAGCGCTCATTAAGATTCCTCTGAATGCAGAGCCAGGACATGGCTGTGCTGTGCCCCTCCCCCCGCCCCCCGAAAAGCCCCACAGAGGTGACACCTTCCTCTCGGGGTAACCCTCAAGGTCAGGTTGGTGGCTGAGCCTGGAGAGGGGGGCCCGGGGCGTGAGCTTCCCTCCCTTCCCAAGCCACTTCAGCCAATTTCCTCCCGATTATGCAACACGCTGCAGACATGCTGCAATCAACAAAAGCCAGGAGCCAGCGAAGTGAGCATCCCCCCCCCCCCGCCCCAGGAAAGCAGGAGCTCTCGGATCAGCGCCAGGGCTTGGGGCAGCCTCTCTGAGCCGGGGTCATGTCTAAGGGAACTTTTCACCCAAGGTTTATTCACCTGGGGCACAACGAGTCCACTAGCACCAGCCAGGGTGGCCAGCCCCCCGCGCGGGGAAGCCTGGAGGGTGCTAACAGTTGTCCTTGAACTTGTCTATCGGCAGACAAAAGGGCCTTCCAAACAAAACCATTTCTGCCACGGTGAATTCCAACCACTCTCCCCCCGCCGCCCCCAGCTGTGATTTCTCCCCCCCACCGCCGCCCCCAGCTGCGATTTCTCCCCCCCCCCGCCCCCAGCTGCGATTTCTCCCCCACCCCTGCACCGCCTTGGTACCTTCTTTTTTTCGAGGTCTAATTTTAGTGCCGTGGTAGGAACAGAGCGACTGGGTTGCATTAAAACGTGCAGAGTCAACAACCTCTGAGAGGCAGAGCCCTGTTCACTAGGGCTCGCCGCAGGCTGCATTCCGGGGAAGGAGGCAGGCTGCACACAGGAATGTGGTCCCCGGGTGCGTTCACACGGCCAAGCCTCCCCAGCAGAGGCCCCCGTGCAAGCAAACACGCCCGCTCTCTAGCCAGCCAGACCACGGCCTGGAACATCTATACCAGCCACATAGATCTAGATCCGATCTGCTCTTTACCCTTGTCATGGAGCCGGGAGCTGAAGTCCGTTCTAGATCTGCCGTACGAGTTCTCTAGATCCGCCGAAGAAAAATCATCGAGTTTGACCTTTTTGACCAGGAAAGATCTTGGCATGGTTTCTCACCGCGAGCGGAGAGGGAGAACCGCGGCAGCCGGCCGGTTGTTGCTGGATCAGCTATTAGAGGGGGAAAGAAACGTACCACCCCCCCCCCCCGACACACACACAAAAAATCTTTAAAAAAATTACAATTAGAAAAAAGCTCCTGGCGCGCTATGGCTTTGCGGCTCGCTTTAGGGGTTTGCTTGCTCAGCCGGGCAGTCCCAAGCCCCGACCCGTGCTGCGGAGATGCCCAGTCTCCGCCTGGTGCAATCAGTCCCGGTTCCAACCCGAGATCCAGCGGCTTTGGTGCGGCAGAGGCGGCGGCTGGCTGCCCGGGCCCGTCTTGCCGACCTCCAGCGCGGCTCCAAAGCCCCCCCTGAGTTCCCGGGGTCACCAGCACAGAGCTGGCTCCTCAGACATCGCCCGCGAGTTCAGCACTGGACAGCTCCCCGCGGCCGGGAGCGGCTCCTAGCTTCGGGTCCCGGCCCCGCGTCCTGCGCCGTGCGCTGCAATTCTTATTGTTCGGCTCAGGGCCGGCTGTTGTTTCTCGCCAGCACTGGACAGCTCCCAGGCTCTGCCGCAGCCGCTGTAGAAGGTCCTGAATTTCTGAAGACTCTCGGATCAGCTGTTTGGATTTATAATGCAGCGATCAGGTGGTGGACGGAAATGGAAGCGCTTAATTTAATCCATCAAAAAAAAAAAAAAAAAAAACCCTCCCGGGAACAGCAGCGAGACGAGCTGATTTAGTGACGCTGTTGTGAGTCGCCTCCTGCCCGGGCTTTTTGCAAGTTAGATCAAAAAGGAGAAGGGAAGTAGGGAGACCGTGGGCCCTGTTGAGGCCCAGAGGCTTGTCCCTGTCTTTGACCCCCGGGCTCTCAGGCAAGGTGCCGAGGGACAGCTCCGGAGCCGGGGAGCAGAGCGCCGCCCTGGCACGGCCTGACCACGCGAGAGGCTATTTCTTTGATTTATCGGGGCGGGAATCAGGAGGACCTGTGGTCTCTGTGATGCAATCAATAAGCTACGCGTTCACTTTTTAGTGAGGAACGTGCCGAGCTGGCTCGTCCTTTTGCTCCATCTGGTTTGGGGAGGCAGTGGGGTGCAGTGGTTGGAGCGGGGGTGGGGGCAGGACTCTTGGGTTCTACCCCCACCCCTGGGAGGTGAGTTCAGTCTAGTGGTTAGAGCTCTGGGAAGGGACGGTGCTCCAGAGGTTACAGCCCAAGGTGGGAGAACCAAGGACACCTGGGTTCTATCCCACCCTGGGAGATGAGCAGACTAGTGGTTACAGCACACGCTGGGCGTCAGGACTCCTGGGTTCTTTTCCAGCTCTGGGAGGGGCGTGGGGTCTAGTGGTTAGAGCAGAGGTTGGGCATCAGGACTCCTGGCTTCTACCCCAGCTGTGCGAGGAAGTATCACCCAGTGGTTAGAACAAGGGGGATGTGAACCAAGACTCCTGGCTTCTAGTCCTGGCCCAGCTAGTGACTGGCGGTGTGAGAGTGGGCCCAATGCTTCATGTCTCTGGGCCTCCACTTCTCGAAAGGAGTGGATAAGCGACACCCCCACATTCATGCTGTGAGACCCCATTAATTCACGCTTGCAAAATCCTTTCAGCTCTTCCATGGAAGCTGCCCAGTCAGTGCAAAGTATGGGCAGCCTTCTGAGTTTATTCCAGCTGTTCATTCCTGCGATTGCGAGACAACTCCATGAACAGCGGGTTAAATCGTGTGTGTGGTCCTTCCTGGGCTTGCAATAGCTCAGTCCTTACTCAGCCAAGACTCCCATTGACTCACAGCCTGGATAAAGGCCTCAGGGGGTGACCCATTGTTGTTATTTACTCTCTGAAGCCCGCCAGGGTGCTGGGCGCGCTGATAAACAGCTGGGAACGCGCAAGTCCCTGCACAAAGGACGTTGCAATCTAAAGGTTTGATCGATGGAAATAAATCAGAAGACAACAGACCCTGGGATTTGAAGTCCTCCCTCAAATACCTCCCCACCCCCACCCCAGGGGTCTAGATCCTGAGCACCTGCCACTCCCATTGGTGCCCAAGCACCTCCCAGGATCCCTTCCAGGGGCTTCGCCTGGCCTCTGGAATCTCCCCTCCCTCCCCTGGCAAGCGAGGAGCCGCCTCCTGCAGGATATTAAGTCAAACCTCCAGGTTGCATTTGTTTTTCCCGTGGCCCCCGTGGTCTCTGTTTGATCCACGCTGCTCTCCTTCCCTGAGTTCTAATTAGCAGCATTGCTGTGAACCTCAGGGCCCCTGGAGCCGGTCGTTTGTTCTGATTTCCCACCCTCCCTCTTTACCCGCAGCAGATTGATGTGACTGCAACCAAGCTAACAATCCGCAGCCGCCCGAAGTTTACAAGTCACCCTCTTACATCACGTCCTCCGGGCCAATGGCGTTCGGCTCATGCTAATGAGGAGCGCAGGGGAGCAGAAGGTCCCCCCTTCCACAACGATTCCTTTAGGAGACATATGTCCCTAATTAACAAACACCCGGGCACGGGCCTGCTCGCTATTGTCTTGCACCGTGTCGGGTTTGTTCACTTCTGCAGCAAGAAACCGAGCCGGGCTCTGCAGTGACCGGGGCTAAAACCCCACAACACCCCCCCACACCCCCAAACAGCCTCTTTGCCACCCCCTTGGACTTCAGCGTGGGGGAGCGGTGTCCTCCCGCTCCTGCCGGGTTGTCTCGGTCCATTCACACGCACACTCTGCAGGGGTGTCATCCAGATGTGTTTATCTGCCTGCCTGCCCCTAGGTTTGGATGTGTGGGTCTATGGGGGGGGGGATCTAAAAGAAAACAGCCCATCACACACACACACCCATGTGCTTTGCCCGTGAAAGGGGAGTACAATCTGACCCCAATCAGCCCCGCACATGAAATAAAAACTCTCGCCTCGCTCTCACTCTTCTGCCGCCTGAAAGAAACCAGATCATCATTCTTTGCACCGGATTTTATTTCATCGGCGGTTGAAATCGGGCTCACACTTTACTCCTCTTGTCATGTACAAGCCAGTTTACCAGACACCGGCCCGGAGCCGGTTCCCTGCGCCACCAGCACAGACCCGTCACTGGGATGTAACTTGAGCAGAAACACCCCCCCCACCCTCCAGCGGGGTGTTTCCCCAGCACCTCCCTTTAAGGCAGCTCCATGGAGCGGCTGCGGATCCCAGACCCCTGGAAGCCTGGCGCGTCCTGTGGCTCCTGCCCGATGGGTCTATCGTATCCACACTCCCCTCCTTCGCAGCCTGGACAACCGCCGGGCTGAGGGACCCTCTGCGCCCCCCCTTCTTCCATGGGCTGCTGCCTGAAGGGTCTCGCGAGTATGAGCGAGAGGGAAACTGAGTCCCGACTGAAGCGAAGCGCGCGGAGGGGGCGCACGTGGAGATTCATGGCCAGGGAGGACCCCGCGCTGCTGGTCCCGGCTCCCTGCAGCCGCCGCTGGGGGAAAGCGAGCTGCGTCCAACGCGCCCCTGTCCCTGCGCTCCACCACAGCCGGCGCCAGCGCTGCCCGGTCACCCCGGGGGGCTCCCGCGGCTGCTCGGTTTGATCTGGTGACCGGACTAAGAACTTGCTCCATGAATGTCCCCCGGGCGCAGGGAGCACCCCACAGGAGACCGCTGGAGGGTCTCCGGGCTGAGTCCTTTCCAAGGCTCCCCTAACACCTCCACAGCCTCGAGCGGGGCGGCGGCGGCTGGGCCCGGGGAGCTGCCTCTGGAGGGGAAGGAAGCCCAAGCTCTGGAAAGTTTCCAGGGGAAAGTGGCTTAAAACGCCAGGGAGGGCTCAGCGAGCACCTGCTGTTCGGCATATCGGCGCGGAACAGGCCGGCCGGGCGGGGGAGCCGGATTTACACGGCAAACGGGCGCCGGGAAACACCCAGGCAGGGCCCCGAGCCCCAGACGCAGCAGCCCGGCTGCCGGGCCCAACCCGGGACACACGAGCACCGGGGGCCGCTCTCGGCTGCGCAGGCCCAGGCACGACCACCTGGCACACCCCGACCAGCCACACACCCAGCGAGACTCTCCCACGCAGCCGCCCCGGACCACCCCCTCGCAGCCCGAGCCCCACGGCTGCCCCGGACACCCCCGGGGCTGTCCCCCAGCCAGGCACCCGGGCGCCGCTGGGTGCAGACCCCGCCAGGGAGGGCGCCTTTGCCCCGAGTTTCGGGAGGTGCGCCCAAGCGGGGCTCGGCGCGCCCATTAAGCAGGTAAGTACAGTAATTGAGCGTTGGATGTTGCCAAGAAGTGCTGATTTCAGCTAAATGGGGAAGAAAGATACAAGCTCCCTTCATTTGCATAATAATAGTCTATGAGGCAAAGCAACACTAAAACGTCTTGTCTGCTGTTAAATCAAAGAGCTTCATTAGCATTTAATTCTCACTCTTACGGTTTAGATTGGAAGCCAAGTGCTCCAGCAGCCCCGGAGAACCTCCCCAGGAATCCATGCAACCGAGCGCCGGGGCGGGGGGTGGCCCTGCTTAGCCCAGTGTCAGACTGTGCATCTGGGCAGCCTGTCTGGTCCACACCCTCCACGCAAACCAGCCGGCTCCCAGCCCTCCCTCACCGGATCCTCCTCTGCCTCCAGCTCCCACTGAAGTCAGGGGCCAGAGTCCCATTGGCTGGAATGGGAGTTTGAGCAGAGCTTTGCAGGGGCAAGGAGGGACAGGGGACAGAGACAGGGCCTCAGGGGACCTGGCTTCTGTTCCCAGTTTTGCCACTGACCTAGGGCCCATCCCTGCCTCTCTGCACTCCCCTGCTTCCCTCCACAGCCTTTGTCTGTTTAGCAAGGGGGTCTCGGTGGAGCAGGGACTGGCTCTGTGCAGGCCAGTTAAGGCCTTTCTGGCACTGCTCTAATGTTCCCTGGTGTAAATCCGGAGTCACTCCATCGCAGCCAGCTGGCCCCAGGCTGGTGTAAATGAAAGCAAGCCAGGCCTGGGCCCTGCCAGTGGGTCTGGCCTGCCCCTCCCCCTGACTCCACAGATCCTCTCCCAGAGGGAGGCCTTAGTTAACTTCCTTTCTGTTCTAAGCACTTGATTTTTGCCTCATCATGCTTTCATCCCGAGGAGCCCTTTCTCCGCCAGGGCACTTGTGCTTGAATATGTTATTAACTTTATTGTCAGGTCCTGCAACCGAGGTTGATCTGCATTACCATCCATGGCCCAAGGGCTTTTGCGACTCCGGCAGAAGGTGCAGCTGGGACCAATTCACCCAAATCCCCCTCCCCTCCCCTCCCCTCCCCCTCCCAACCCAGCAGCTCAATCAGCAGCTCCAGCCAGGAGGGCATCAGAGACAAGGCCTTGTCATTACTGGGGTGTGTGTGCGTCCCTTTCTTCCGGCACTGGGAGCCTGCAATGCTTCCAGTGATGTGACAGCCGGAGCCTAGATACCATGGTGATGGGCCCTTCAGATGGCCCATGTTATCAGCCAGTGTGCATTCCCATTTTGCTTCCCCATGGATCTCTAGCAGCAAGTAGAACAGGATCAAGGACCTCCCGGCACCTGCTGCTGTATCTCAGTAACCAGGGCAGTCACTTATTTTTTGTCAAGGTCCAAATTTCTTGGTCAAGGTCCAGACTCCAGTGAAAATAACAGTGATGATCAGAGTAAGTAAATAAAAAGATTTCGGGGTCCATTCAAAAGTGTCTGGCCGGTCCAGATTTGGCCCATGGTCTGCCTGCTGACGACCCCTGCAGTCCCCTTTGGTCAGAGCAATTAAGCAAAGGCGTTTAAACAAATTGTGGCCAGAGACAGGGGAGCTTACATGCTACTGGCAGAAG